GAAGATGGCGGCGACAGCGGCGGAGGCCGTGGCCTCTGGCTCTGGAGAGCCCCGGGAGGAGGCCGGAGCCCTCGGCCCCGCCTGGGATGAATCCCAGTTGCGCAGTTATAGCTTCCCGACTAGGCCCATCCCGCGTCTGAGTCAGAGCGACCCCCGGGCAGAGGAGCTTATTGAGAATGAGGTGGGGGGCGGGGCCGCGTCTAAAGGGAGAGGAGGAAGGTACCCGGTTGAGAGGTCAGAGGCGAATGGTGAAAGAGTTGGGAGACTGGCAGGGCTCTAGACTAGGGCATATGGGAAGATGGAGAGAAAGGCGAGGAGATACGGAACTTGAGGGGTTCGTGCTGATTAACGGGAGAAATTACTCTGAAGTTGAGAAGTAGTTGGGATCATGGAGGCGAACCCACCGACTTCTTGGCATGACTTTATTTGATGTTTTTCACCTGTTGCTTTCATTTAGGAGCCTGTGGTTCTGACCGACACAAATCTTGTGTATCCTGCCCTGAAATGGGACCTTGAATACTTGCAAGAGAATATTGGCAATGGAGACTTCTCTGTGTACAGTGCCAGCACCCACAAGTTCTTGTACTATGATGAGAAGAAGATGGCCAATTTCCAGAACTTTAAGCCGAGGTCCAACAGGGAAGAAATGAAATTTCATGAGTTCGTTGAGAAACTGCAGGATATACAGCAGCGAGGAGGGGAAGAGAGGTAAATTTCTAAATCTTAATTTTCTGTTGGATTTAGGGCAGTCATTTTTCTTTCCTATACTTGAAGGTGTGGCAGAATTGGGTCAGTTAGAGATTGGCCTCTCCCATCTCTGGATTCCTGTTGAAGGAGTAGTCTGGTCTTCCAGCCTTTAAGGGGTTTGAGTTCTTAGTGGTTCTTGGTGCCACAGCCAGCTAGTTCTGTAGCTTGAGGGATGGGGGAATGATTAAACTTCGGCTATGAATCTCTGGGTTCCCATCTTCTTCCTCATAAAGTGAGAGTTAGTTGCCTAGAAGGGTCAGGCAGGTGAATGAAAGGAGTAATATTGTCTGTGTGAAATCAGTGATGAAGCTGAAGGCATAAGCCCTGTTCAAAGTGAGAAGCCAAGGCCGGGTGGGGTGGCTCATGCCTGTAATCCCAGCACTTTGGGAGGCAGAGGCAGGATAATTGCTTGAGCCCGGGAGTTCAAGACCAACCTGGGAAACGTGGTGAGAGCTAGTCTCTACAAGATTAAAAACTAAAACAAAAAACCATAGTGAGACGCCATTACTTGACTTTGCTTGCTTCAGTTTTGGAGTGCAGTTCTAGGGTTGCAAGATATTCCGATTTTCAAGAGAAGTTCAAAATCAGGACTTTTATTTAAAATCTTTTGACTTTAAATGTGAGCAACTAAATCAGATTTAAAGAAAAAAAGTTGCAGGGAGTCAAACAAAAATGTTTGTCACTGGATTTTGCTCTGAAAATGCCTGTTTGTAGCTATTGTCCTTAAGTATTGTGATGACTGGGCATAGTTCAACCTGAAAAGTTGTATAGTTTGTTGTGATTTTGGAGTAAAGAAGGTCGGGATTCTCTAGCTTAGGGAAGATCAGATTAAATTTGTTTTTCCTATCACAACAGAAACACAAGACACATAAGAGAGTGATTCTTCCTCTTTGCTTTTATTCCTGCTTATGAGGACAGCCTCTTATGTAGGTCCCAGACAGTATTCAGTACCACGCTATAACACCGCCTCTGGGGAATTGCTTTCGCTGAGTACTTCATGGTGAATGACCCTCTCGCATTTGGTGTCCAACCCTGGGTTTCCTCTCTAGTCTCTTGCTTCACTCACTCCTGTTCCTGACGCCTTTTCAGCAGTCTGTGGCTACGTGAATGGATTTGAAATATCTTTTTTTCTTCTTCTTAACACTTAGCAGTTGTCATAATGATGGGATTTTTGACCAGAAGAATTTCCAGGGTATGAACTGTGATTGATCTGTCCATGATGTCTTAATATATTGGTTCAGCTGAGTTGTCTCATGCATTAATTTTCTAAAATTTAACACAGTGTGCATGTGCACACTTCCATACACACACACCCAACTTTGAGAAAAAGTTTGATTTAAATGATGCTGTTGGAGTGTGTAATTCCATTGAATGAACATATACCCAAGAATAAGTGTAAGATATGTGAATCTTGTGATTCTTCAGTGACTTGAAGTTTCTTGCCTCCCATAGTGAGAGCATTTTGTGTAAGAATGAGTGTAATTTGTACTTTATGGGTGATTAAAGAGTTTTCAAGGAAAATCTTTAATTGTTTGGAAGTTTTGCCCTATTAGCTGACTTTAGCACCGACCAGCTTCATGTATGATTGGACAGGTTGTTGTGATTATGGGGTGAAATGTATTAGGATCCTCTGAGCTATTTTGAGCATTTACCATTCTGGTGTAATAATGTTTAGATTCATATTTGGGGAGTATCACTGACTCTTTCAAAGTTACTTGCTTATTTTTTGGGTGAATATATAATTATTATCTTTGGGGAGAGTTGCATTGAGTCTTGAGGATTCCATGTTCCTACAAAGGTAGTGTTTCCAACTTATCAAGATTTCCTATTAAGGCTGGGCATGGTAGCTCACACCTGTAATCTCAGCCCTTTAGGAGGCTGAGGCGGGCAGATATCTGAGGTCAGGAGTTCGAGACCAGCCTGGCTAACATGGTGAAACCCTGTGTCCACTAAAAATACAAAAATTAGCCGGGCATGGTGGCGCATACCTGTAGTCTCAGCGACTTGGGAGACTGAGGCAGGAAAATTGCTTGAAGCCAGGAGGCAGAGGTTGCATTGAGCCGAGATTTTGCCACTGCACTCCAGCCTGAGTGACAGAGTGAGACTCCATCTCAAAAAAAAAGATTTCTGATTAACATTGCCTTAAACATTTAGATTCTAGGCAGTGAGATGCCTTAAACATTGAGATTCTAGGCAGTGAGATGCCTTTGAACCTTTTTTTTTGAGACAAGGTCTTGCTCTGTCACCTGGGCTGGAGTGCAGTGGCGTGATCTCAGCTTACTGCAACCTTCGCCTCCCAGGCTCAAGCGATCCTACCACGTCAGTCTCTTGAGTAGCAGGGACCACAGGCATGCACTGCCACCACCATGCCCAGCTAATTTTGTGTTTTTTTAAATAAACTATTTATTTAAATAAATAAAGTTTTGCCATGTTGCCCAGGCTGGTCTCGAACTCCTGAGCTCAGGCAACCCACCTCCCTTGGCCTCCCCAAGTGCTGGGATTATAGGCGTGAGACACCACACCTGGCCCCTTTGAGCCTTTTGAAGTAATGATCTCAGGACCAGGACAGAGATACAGAGATGCTTCTGTCTTTTTTTTTAGGTTTTCACACTTATTAAATGTCTCTTGTGGGCTTATTCAGGTGTGTTTGGGTTTTCGTATCTCTTAAGTAACTTATGACTTTCCTCAGGTATGTTAGGAGCCTGAGGCCTTTACCTGATAAGCTGTCTCCCTTACTTTAGCTGTAGAGGGCTGCAAAAGGATAGATGGCTGAATCAGTTAAGATAAACTAGGCTTCAAGCCAGAGCTCGGGCTAGAAACAACAGAGGCTTATTTCTCACTTACTACATGTTGATCATGGGTAATGTCATATTGTTCTTTACATCATCTTATTCTCTCTGGCACCCAGATTGCCCCAGCAGCTACTCTCTGGAATTGGGAGTTGCTGTGGCAGAGAGAAAGAGATGTGATAGTGGTGACTGGTTCTTAAATTATAGTTGGAAACAGCACAAGTCACTTCTGTGGACATTTCCTTGGCCAGAGCAGGTTAAATAAGCAAGCCTGGCTTCAAGGGGATATGAAAGAAAACTTCCACACTGAGGGAACCAGCTCTTGGCGAACAGTAATACAATTTACCACAGTGGTCATCAAGGGCCAAAGGAGATGTCTCAGGCTCTGCAAGTCTCTGGTATAAGACTGAGTCATCATTCTAGGGTCTATGGATAGGCTTCTAGGAATCTGAAATTATATGAAAGTTCTGGGTGTATGTGCATTTTTGTGGGGAACCTCCGTGGATTCTTTCATTTATTTATGTATTTATATTTTTTTGAGATGGAGTCTTGCTCTTGTCATCCAGGCTGGAGTGCAATGGCACGATCTCAGCTCACTGCAACCTCTGCCTCCCAGGTTCAAGTGGTTCTCCTGCCTCAGCCTCCTGAGTAGCTGGGAC